ATAATATAATTAAAGACATAATAATAACTGTTATGATATTAATAATAATTTTACTTACGATAAGGTCCTCCAACTTTTGTGATATCATACATCTTTCCATCTCTTTTATTTGGTTTAGTACACTGAATAATCATTTTTTGTACTTGTGCTGGGGTAAAATAGTGCTAAAAAAAAAATTGAGCCTTCATCAATCATTATAGTTGAATATCTCTTTCATAATGCATCTGATAATTTATTGAACAATTTAACCAATGGTATGAACCTCTTATTGTTAAATAATAAATTACTAGTTGATAAATTGCTTCCAGCTAATTTTTTTTCTTTTGTTTTCTAGATCTTTTCTTAAATACAAGTAATTGCACAAATCATTTTGAAGGCTTAACAAATTTTTTCAAAAGTTGATAACTTTCAGTTAGTTAACTCTTTGTCTTTATTTCAACGCAGGTATATACAATTTTGTTTTAGTTAGGTATACCTGATTTCATGATATACTTTTTATACCAAAAACATTCATTACTCTACTTAAAATATTAGTTAATTGAATTTGGTTCATTATTGTAGAATCTACGTCTGTAAATAAAGAGGATTTAGCAAATGGTTCCAGGTCTTAATTACCTTGGAAGAAGGGTCCTTCATTATTTTTTCGTCAAATGGGTAATAATGATGGATAATTATAATTATGACTATTTAAAACGTTAAAAAAATGTATTAACTATATATTATAGATATACATTCAGATTGTGTAAGACAACAAGATATTCCTAATTTTAATGAAAGAACAACAACTGGTTAGTTATTTTAATTTATGAATATTATTACTATACTTCTTTTTGTGAAACATTTTTTCAGAAACATTATATAATCTACTGCACCCTATTTTACTTTGCCTTACTGCCATCGAAAAGGTGCAGCAAACTTTTTCTTTAAAAGTACCTACTCGACTATACTCATTTCAGAATAAGAAGGAACCAGGCGGCCACGGACAAAACCGGTTTTGTTACGTAAATCTGGTGCGTTCTTATTCTGAAAAGAGTATAGGTGCTTTTAGAAAAACTTTTTTTGTGTTAGATATCAACAAATCAACATTTGAGAATTCATCCCTAATAGCTTCTGATAATCTATGAAGCCCATACAAATATGGGCCATACAAGTAATATGGATTAGTTTAGGATAAAATACCTTAAGCGCATGTCCATATTTTACCATATAAGGAGCGGTGTCTGTGACATACAATAACACTTTGTCATGCAATACTTTCACATAATATACAGTATGTCCCAAAAGTCCCGTATCACCCTTAATATCTCCATGTAAAATCACTATATTTAAACGCGGTTTTTTTTACACTACTAAGTATGAAAATTCTGATTGAATGGCATAAAATTCATTTATTTTTTTCTTTAAATTCAAAAATTTTCAAAAAATTTTTTTACCCATTTAATAATTTAAAATTTTTAAGATAGCCATTTTGTTGAGCATATTTTTTAAAACAGTTCAAAAAAAAAAAATACTAAAATTAAATAAAAATTGACCAAGTTAGAGCAAGTTATGTTTTTGAATAATTGTAGTAAAAAAATAAATTATTGTTTCACATTTCAATAATGAAATATCTAATTTCAGCACACGACAATACTTTTGCATTCCTAATTTATTTTTTTATTTGCATAAAAATCCGGGCCCTACTTATTACCTTTGATGAAAATGGAACATTATCATGTATTGGGCAATATGTTAAAAAATGTTGACAACAAACAAAAGTTGGTGAGTTAAATATAATTTTAATATTAAAAAAATATGTTTGACCAATATTCAGTTAACTGGTTTCATTTATTTATAATTCATAATTCTAATTCTTATATTAATGTTGCCGCGACACAGTGTTGTGATTATCATGCGATATGCAAAACAGCGCAGCGGCGGCGACCAGTCTTTACCTCTCTCCCTCTTCCTTATCATCATTTAATCGTTACTCGTTAGGTATGTGAATTATAATCACCTATATTAATTAATTTATTATTATTGTTATCGTTGTCGTCATATTGTGTTTTTATATCATCTGTTTTAATGTTTTGTTGTGATTACGAGGCCAACGCCCTTATTGTTGTTATTAATTTTTTTTACCGTAGTAAGTAAGTAAAGCACCATCATTACCAGCATTTAAGTGAGTTGTATTGTATTTCTGGTTGAGTATCACTACGGTAGTACCTACTCGTCTCATCAGCTCGTCATTGAGACATTATTGGACGGTGATTTTCAATCGCCCGAGATCGGGATTGGTGCCATCAGTCAATGCGTAAGACCGCCAGCACCCGCCGTGGTGTGTGAGAGGCCGCCAAGGTCTTCGAGTCCATTCGCCGTCGTTTGTCATTTGTTGCAGCCTTCATCCACATCATTATCATCATCATCGTAGAGTTAAGTGTAGATTTTAAGTATTCTCCGATTTCTGTGAGCTTGGTGGTCATTGCACCAAACCGATTCCGACCACCAAGACATCCCCCCCATATAACTTTACTAAACTCATTTTCCTTGTTCCTGTGCATAAACTCAACTTCCTTGGTCCGGTAATATTAAGTCTCTTTTGGTCCCCTCCTATCTTCGTCGTCGCCGTATCTGGTTGCCTACCCGGTCATTCTAAGGCAGTGCACAATAAGTTGCCTATCCCGTTGAATCTAAGGCAGTGCACATTAAGTTGCTCATGTCAAGATAGCATCATCACAGCCTAGGTTTCATAGTCATTTATTTTCATCGTAACAAGCCCAAGTGGCAACAATTAATATTTATGAAAATTAAATTATTGTTGATGAATTATAAATAAATAAAGTAGGTACGCTATTGAACTTAAATGTTTTAAATATTATTATATAATAAATTATTAAATTATTAATGGTTGTACCTTGTTGTAGATTGTACACTTGAATTCGGTGGTATCAAATATCCAATAGATGGAAATAGGCACAGTGATTTCCAGAGTATTAGAAATCATTATTACTATAAACAATTATTAATGGAGTTCACTTTCAAAGGTTCCAAAACTAAGCCAGCATTTTTTGAAAGGGTTTTCTTTAAAATATTGGACAGGAAAATCATTGTCTATACTATAGACTCTAAAGCTAACTTATGTCAACAAAAAAATCCATAACCTGATTTTTGTACTACATATGTTGTAGAAATTACCAGCTTGTCGTGGTGATCCCGCTCGGCCGTCCTTCAGGTCGGCCGATAAGAGACTTTCAAAATCGGGTCCTTCAAACCAGTTGTGACGGGCCCCAGGCGTGACGTGAGCTGTTACGTAACGCCAAGTCGTGTGCTCGCGAGCGGTGAGCCTATACCTCAGACTGGGAGCAACCCGTAAAAGAAACCAGTCATCCTGCAGTGTCATTCGGCTGGCAGTAACACGGCCTCAGGGTCTGAGGACCGTCGTAGACGGGCGTACAGGCGCCAACCCTTAGGTGGGGCGATCGCCCGGGGATCTTAACCAGTTCACGGACGATCAGGCAGGGCTGTGGACTTCACCATCTGCAGTGGGGTGGAACGAACTTCCGGAGGTTGGCATCTCCAGTCGTAGGAGCTAGGATCTCAGGACAACGGACAGACTCTGACCAGGCTGATCCAACGAATGCAATGTAAGCTCATCCCGACGTACGCCAGAGGGTTCAGGGCTCAGCCTGGCAGTAGGTAAAAAATGCAGGGAAGGACACCCGCTAACCACACGATGGAAGTGGTTAAAACAAAATGTACCCCAAGTGATAATCCGGCCATGTCGGTAAATTCACCTCCCGCGCGAGCATTGGCCCAAGTATTTTTTTTTTTTGGGGGGGGGGGCAAATCGCTTTCCATCACCGGTCGGAGCTGAGCGGCCCGATTGTCGTGCCTGAGTGGGAAATTTCTGACTCTACCCGTAATACCCGTGACTCTACATCTGAGTTTAAAATGAAAAATTCTGACTCTCCTCTAGGAGTAATTCCTGACTAAGGTGGCTATTTCCTGAGACTCAAAGGTGGCGCTAATATAGCGAGGTAAGCACACCCGCTAATGGTAGTTTCATTCTGGAAGAAAATAATACAAACATTTTCGAAACGCCATTTACGCCTTTTTGCACGAAAAGAAAGAGGACCGCCGAAGTGAACTTTAGCCTCACGTCCAATGACTCTGAGTGCTCGCACTCTGAGAACATTGAGAAGTATTGTGACGAGGTCGAGTTCACCATTCAGCCGAACGGACTTTGGTGTCACGATTAATGAATAAGTCAAAATTAAATATATACTAACACAACATTAACAGGGATCAAATAGCCAGCAACCAACTAAGGGAAGCTTGTAAAAAGCAGAAGATAGATTTCCTCTAAGTACAAGAGTCTCTGGTAATAAACGGGAACGTGTACGCCTTCGAGTGCTGCAGGTCACATATCAGCGATAACACAGGAGCAGCGATCATCGCGCTCACAAACTGCTACCAATCAATTAAGCTGAGCACGTCTTCGTCCAGTCACGTGGCCACCGTAAAAATAACGTACGGCAAATCTAAAAACGATTATATTTTGCTAGTGTCTGCATATTTCAAATATAGCCTGCCGACGACTGCCCACAGTGGTCTGAAATGCAATTTTTGGCGGACAAAACTATTTTATTTACAATATGTTTTCCTAATGTTGTTTAGTTAATGATAGTTAGTATAATTAAGTTAACAATGTATTAGAATTAAAGAAATTACATTTTTTTTTTATTACAATTAAATAATTATTTATTCTGAATACTTATAATCATGGGCGGATTTTTTATGATGGGTAATAATGATATTGAATTTAATTATTAATACATTATTTTTGAAGTTGGAATATTTTTAAATACAATAATATAGATGATTTATCTATATATTAAATGTAATTTTTAATTACAAATGCGATCATAAAAATTAAATTCAATAATAACATTTAACAAAATAATCTTATTCCGATTCTGAACTACTCGTACTACAATTACTATCGGATTTAACATTAATAATTAATTTTTGAACGGCTTCATCAAATTCAAAAATTTTTTTGGTTGGAATTGACGTAAGCTTGAAATATAAGGATCGGATGAAATCAGTAACATATGAATCAAGTCTTCATTTTGACATGTTCTTAATATTTTTCTAGTATTATGCTCTGCAATTCTTTTAAAATCTTTATTTCTAGACTCTTGGGCCTCTTCTGACAGTTTATCTAAAAAAAATAAATTAGAATTCAATACATACACAATTTAATATTCATGGTTAGTGATTACCTAATGGTACGAGTGAATTGCTTATCATATCAGCTCCATGAATCAAGATTTTATGCACGCTCGCTGGCATGTAGTCCCATGAATAACGAAATTAACAGTTCTGCAGTTTTATATGCGTAAGTTTCGAATTCATCCACACTAATTTCGTATCCACTTGCAAGTGCTCTCAATATACCATCAAATCTTTTTATAATTTCCAAGTCTAATTCTGTTATATCAGCTGATGTTTCTGCATTTTTAAAAAATCGGCGTGCAGTGTTTCCGTCATTTTTAGTTCCACTATCTATTTTATAAAATAACAAATGTATTGAAGATGTATTTTAAAAAAATTATGTTGTTATCAATTTTTATTATATTTTAATATTTTTATGTTTATAAATATTGAGTGTAAAATACTGTAATGTATAAATTATAAATATAAACACATAAAATATAATTTACTAAAATAATTTCGACATTTGACCACATACCCTGTAGAACAACATCTACCAGTAATTCGGTTTCTATTCGAAAACGATCCTGAATATCTTTTTTTAGTTTGGAAAAACTTAATTTTTGTTCAGGTGTTCTAACCTGAAAAATAAAACACTTACTCATTATTATCGGTATTTGAACTAAAAGAAAAACTGTACACACTTTTACATACTTGCCATTGTTTAAACACTAATCGATAGACAATGTGTAACAAACATTCAAAAAATCGGATCCAGGAATGAAGTGTTGAAAGTCCAAAATTATAAAAAAATTCTTGTGCATTCTCTTTTTTTTTACATTGTTCTTTGTTATTCATGTCTTTAGGGCTGCATTTGCATATATAGCAAACCTGACTAGATGTATTTGACATAGAATTACAAACCTATAAAATATTAGATACTTTAAAATTTTTATTTA